TCTTGTCATTTGGTAATGTCATTCGGTGCTTTATAATGCTGTTTGCTTTCTTAAAATGAAAATAATCATGACAGAAAAATGAAGTTTAATTTGGATAGGGTGGCTAATCGTGATAAGTGAGACTTTGGTGTCTTGTTACTCTGGAATAATTTGATTATTGTAATTAAGGAAGAAATATAGAAGAATAAACTCTCCAAATTGATGTCTTAGGTCAAACTGGCCTATTAAGAGGAAGATGAAATTGTGCCTTTCAGCATCTCACCTCTGCATCATTGCATGGGCACGCTGTGCTCTCTCTTCGGCTACTCAGCAAAGATTTTCTTCGAATCTGCTTGTGTAATCCAGTTGCAAATCCATAACCTTCACATTGTATGCATGCGAGATTATGTTGTAGTTTTCTATCCGTTATGCCTATTTATTGGGACATATTAATAAGATTTTAATGATCTAATTGCAAAATCCCATTTTGATTCTGTAAATGCTGTATTTCTTTTTTAAAACAATCTTTCTACTAGTGCCAACAAAATAGTATATGTATGGATAGAGATAGACAACATAATTCAAAGGAACACAGTTTGTGAATTTATCAAATTTAATGGTAAGGCTTGCCATGGTTGTCGGCCTCCTCTCAAAACAAGGGAGATGTGTGGGCCTGTGAGATGGCAGGTGGATAACAGTGCGTGCCATGCCAGTCAGGAGTCCCAAGTGTGAGTCTCATAACTCTAACAAAGGTAGGAAGAAAGAACCTATTCTATAAAGTTGTCCCATGACCACCACATGCATGCTTTGGCATGCACATGCTTGCAATGCATGCACACTACACATACACATGCACACATGTGAACATGCATATACACACACAAAACACACAAACTAACTGTAATTAAAAATAAGACAATGTAATAAAATACTATTTATTACATATAAAATTAGGTTTGAATTCTAGAGGCATTTTATTGTGGACCCTTCATATTCTGACTCCATTTTTTTTTTTTTTTTACTGTATGAATGAAATTTTCAGTTTATGAGTCAAATGATTTGTGTAAGGTCTAACCACTGGATCCGGGCAGTGAATCTGATTCTTATTTTTGTTTGTTTTCTGGTTGCTACTTATGCTTCAAACGTATCATATTAATGTATGCTTATCATTGTGTGATTATACAATACATGCTGATGTGGTATTGGTTCAAATTATAATTAGTTTGGGATTTGGAAGAAACTTCTGAGGTTGCTTGGAGTTTAATGAGAATCAGTGTCAGGGTTGCTCTTGCAGAGTGCGTTCTTTGCTGTTAACCTTGTAGCAAGGATCATACATACATGTGGTATTGGTAGGCATTGTCTGTCCCTGAACAGCAGTAAATTAATCCCGTGTATCCCAATAACTTTTCATGTGCACTTATTTGAAAACTTTTTCTAAGGAGAATTTGGTTTTAAAATTTACATCTCGATAGTTTGGATTAGTATAGTTTAGTATGTAGCTGAAGGGGCCTAGGCTGGAAATCTGGTTGCAGTTCTGAAGAGCCTAGTTAATTCGGAGATCATGAGAGATTTATTCATCTGGACTGTATACTTTTGTAAAAGTTAACTTAAAAAGAGATTGCATGAGACAATGGGGATGTTCTATCGGGAACTCACCAAGGCCAGCTGGCCTGGGTCTGAAAAAACCTGGGATAAAACCAGACTCGCTGAACATAGCAGACAATGAGGACTACTGAGAACTCAAGAACAATGGCAATGGGATTTTGATCCTACTGCACATACTGGCTTTGTGGGAGCCTAGGCAGTTTGGATGCTCACCTTACTAGACCTGGATGGAGGTGGGTGGTCCTTGGACTTCTCATAGGGCAGGGAACCCTGATTGCTCTTTGGGCTGATGAGGGAGGGGGACTTGACTGGGGGAAGGAGAGGGAAATGGGAGGCGGTGGTGGGGAGGAGGCAGAAATCTTTAATAAATAAATAAATAAGTAAAGAGATTGCATGCTTGGAGTATACATCACTGTGGGACTCTATTATAGAACCATAACAATCACCTTGTTTTGAGTTGGGTCCTTGGTCTGTCACTTGAATTAGGTGGGTTGATTCCTATATGTGGTCAGGATTGCTTCTGATAGTTTGAAATGCAATGAAATCACAGAAATGTATGGATTTTGGGATAACTATGATATGACCCCCTGTCATCTTGGGTTTTCTTTTCTAATATGCAATTTATAATGAAACAGAGCTGAGTTTCCTACACACTACAGAGTTCTCTAAGGGTTAAATGTTTTTTTGTTTATTTGTTTGTTTAGAGGCATTGCAAACTGAATACAGTTTAATCAGCTTGTTAAGTTTGACTTTGAAAATCATCATCGTTATTTTGCCTTTACAGTTCACACTATGAAAATGTTGAAAGGAGAGTGAAAGCCGTGGGATGTGATAATAGTCCGGGGATAGTGTAATTCTAATTTGAATTAAGTGACAGTAGGGTGTCACTAAAGTCTGAAAAATAGTAAACTGGTGAGTGCTAAAACATCAGTCACCTGTTCTGTATTGGGGAGGAGGTGGTATTTATAATTGAATTCACACATGGTATTTTTGATGTCAGGTTATGGAGGAAATTAATTTAAGTTTTACACATTGCAGTAAGTGGAGACTCATTAGATTATGGTGGTAATTGCTGTGGTCCTTTTTTAATTGGAAAAGAAGAAAATAATGCTTACCCATTCTTTGTTATTGTAAGATAGATAAATCCCTTCCTTAACTTTAATATTGGCTTGAGTGTCCATATTCTGATACTAAGCTCTCTGAAAAAGGAATTGAGATGACACTGTGACCTGTAATAGCTACCAGAAAATATTGAGAATTAATTTAGCTGAAGAAATGATAGACCTGTACACTGAAAACTAAAAAATATTGTTGTAAGGCTTAAAAACAACACAAATAATTTATCATGTGCTTGAGGATTTGAATAATAAATATTGTTAAAATGCTCCTACTACTCCAAATGACTAAAGAGTCAGTGCAATTCTAAGAAAAATTCCAGTGACATTTTTCAAAGAAATACCAAAAATTCTTAATAATATGAGGATATGCATTCAATCAATGTGCTATCTGTTCCCCATATACATTCAATAGGGTGAGGTTTCTAAAGTAAACTGTAATTTGTCTCTGTTATGTAGTGGCAGGGACATGTGGTTTCCAAAAACTGGGGTGGGGGTAGGGATGCTTTAGTCTTGTGTCTGATTATTTGCTTTAGTGGTCAAATTCATCTAACCGAGGCATACCTGAGAATTAAGGTGGGCAACAAATAAATCAGATATGTGTATACAGCAAATGATTACCAGGATCATACAAACCTACCCATGCCCTCATTTGGTTGGCATTGTTTGACATAGTAAGGTTTACAATCTACTCTCAATAAGTATGAAATTGAATATCAATAGGCACACTGTTCACTATAGTGCACAGTTGCACTCCAGGATGCATTAATCCTATAAAGATAAGATTTTGAAGCTTTAGTCAGTATCTCCTCATTTCCTGTATTCACTTGGCAATGGCAGCCACCAGTCTACTCTCAGCTTCTCTGAACTCAGTGCTTAGTAGATCGCACATGAGTCTCTGGTGAGATTACTTCAATAAGCCTTATGTCATGTCTTCCAGGTTTGTCCCTGTTGTTTAACATGACTGTGTGGTGGTGACACAGGACATTCCCTACTCTCCAAACCCCATTCTTCCTGTTGAGAGCTACTTACCTTCGTCTGTTTTCACAAAGAAAAGATGAGAATGGTTTGGATACAGCCCTGACTGCATTTCTGACACCCATCAGTCCTGTGCACTCAGTAAATGGGAGAGCTTCCTGCTTATGGTGATTGGGTGTTTTTCCAACCGCCTGTCACTGCTTTCTCTATCCCGTTTCTCCCACATCTTGCCAATTCTGAGTTTGGAGTTCCTGACTAAGCCATATGAAAGTGCAAAATAAAGTTTCACTTTTCCAAGGCAAACTTGCTGGGCTGGGCTTTCTCTAAGCTCATAGAGGAGGGGGTGGAATTAAGTCCTATGTATTTCTTTCAACAAATATGGTGAGAAAAATTGATCTTCCTGCTTCATACACTGCACAGAAGGCTGAGAGTGACTAATTTCACTGATCTTTTCAAGAATCTATTTATAGCGGGCCTTCTGGCTAAAGATTCCACTCCAGAGAGAGGCACACAGATTTAAATCCAGTTTTTTTTTTTTTTCTCAGGAGGTGTCAGAAAAGTGAGCTGGCTCTAGAGTGGTTGGTGGCTTGGGTCTTGTTGTAGGACATACCTCTCTTTTCCATTGTTCCTGATGTAGCTAAGGTAATAGGCCAGAGAAAGGGTGTAAAGAGAAAAGTTGGGAGCGCTCATTTTCTGGGAGTGTTCTTTGATTTATTTTTCCCTCAAAGATGACATGTTCTGAAAAGAGGTTTCTGAAACACATGCATTATTTCATGTGATTTGTGGCTCCCTGTGTTGTATACAGCTTAAGGTCTTATTAGGAGGAGTTGCCAAGAGAGTCTAGAAGTTGGTATCTGCAAGTTATTCTGTAGCACAATTCATAAAAACCCAGAGATAGAAATTGGGGTTAAACCTTAATGTCAGAAAAGCAAAACAGCCAGCCACTGGCTCTTACCTCTATCTCAATCTGAAATGGTGACCCTGCCTCCAGGAATCTCAGAATGAGAATGTGAGTGAGAGCTGTCTCTTCCAGTCTTATAATCCTCTCTAGGACTGGCATGCACCATTACTGCCTGGTTTTTATGGCAAACTAGTGTGACTACTGGGATTAAAGGTGTGTGTCACCACTGCCTGGTCTGTAAGGTTGATCAATGCAGCTGTTTTACTCTCTGAACTTCAAGCAAGCTTTATTTATTAAGATACAAATGAAATATCAGTACATTATTCTTTGACAAAATTTTAGATAGGTATTTGTAGGTCATAATTTATAAAACCAAACTCTAGTGTGTTTTTAATGCATGTTTATTATTTATTTAATTTTAGATTCCCCCAGAAGCATAAAAGCACCTACTGCTACAGCTGAGCGGTTTCTCCAAAAGCTGAGAAATAAACATGAGTTCACAATTTTGGTGACCCTGAAGCAAATCCACTTAAATTCAGGAGTTATTCTCTCTATCCACCACTTGGATCACAGGTAAGCAGAACTTGTAATGTTTCTGGTGTTTTCTGTGTGTGATTGCATTATAATACAGAAGAGAAGCAAACAGAAGCCTGCTATTGGAGATGTGTGAGGGCCTTTAAAGCACAGAGAGATATATATCATACAGAACACAGACAGAGTTCTGCCTAAAAACAAAGGAAACCACTGCATCAAAGCATGTTGGGAACTTACAAAGGTCGACTTCTAGGACATATTTGTCAATTCCTAAATTCCACAGGGGCTGTCTTCCTCAGTACTAAGGACAAACATACTTCTTAATTTCTGATCATTATCCACAAAACTCCAGTATTTGTACTTTGGAAAAGTGGTGTGCTTAGAATTTTGTTGTCTTATAATTTTAGTCATTGTACACAGAAGTTTCTGTCTCACCTGGTCCTGTAGCCATTCAGTCCTAAAGAAACACACAGTGGCTTATATTAATTATAAACTCTTTGGCCTACTAGCTCAGGATTATTATTAATTAGCTCTTACAACTTAAATTTACCCATAATTTTTGTCTATGTTTAGCCATGTGACTTGGTAACTTTTCTCAGTAGGGCATTCTCATCTTGCTGGTGATTGAGTCTCTGATTTTTCTCTTCCCAGAATTTTCTTAGTCTGGTCGCCTTACCTTTACTTACTGCCTGGCTTCTGGCCAATCCATGTTTAACTAATACAAGTGATAAATCTTTACAGTGTACAAGAATGTTATCCCACAGCAAATCATAGACAGGGAACTTACCCAATACACCAGGACACTCACAGCTGTGTTTAGTAGTATAGATTGAATGTCAATGCTGTCTTATAAGTACTTTCTCCTTTCTGTCAGACGTGGAAGGATCAATAGGAGAGTTGGCCAAAGAGGTCGAGAAAGAAGGGACATGTGTAGCTATAGATAGATGTATACATAGTGAATAATACCTGAATACTGAATTATAGTATAGAATAATGCAGGCCTGAAAATAATAATTCTGACAGTGAAAGTGTCTGCATGTTCACATTTCAATGCTTAATACTATCATATATTATCTATTTGTTGGAGGCCATGGGATTATACACCAAGTGACAACTAGTGTTCAACAGGCTGACCTACCAGATGACTCATTCTCTTATAGGGAGCCCCACTTGGTACAGTTGCGGGGTTCACTGGCTGTAGATAACTATTTGTCTCTGTAATTTCTCTCATGAGTCACTTTATTTTTTCTATAAGAATATCTTTGAGTGTTTTTCCACTGCGTGTGTGTTTATCTCATGAAAACAGTCCATCTACTAGGTGCACATAGATATGTGGATGATCAGGAAGATAACTTCTCATTAATCTGTATAATTTCAATATATAGAAAACATGCTAGGACATGCTTCATAACTAGATCTATTGTTCTACAAGGCTATAAAACACTTAAAGATTGCTTTGTTCTGTTTATTCAGATTAACACAAGACAATAACAATTTCTCCTCAGGCAAACTGCACACAATTAGCTCAATTTTACCTCAGAGGAAGTTCAAACTAGACTAAAGCTTTTGTAAATGAATCTTAAGCTAAAAGCTTTACAGTTATGCACAAGGTCAGAGTCGTAGGTGTCTAACCAAGGTTATTCATACAACCTTAAAAAATCATGCCTATACTTTTCCTGCCAAGTCTAGTTGATAAAAGATTCATGTTTCAAAGCTTATATCACTGTGCACTGTGCCCCTGCCCTCTGGTCACAATCTTATTCCAAAAACTTTGAAACTTTACATTGCCACGGTAATGGGTTCTGCCCTTATTACTTACTTGTATGTGCTTTTGACCAATGAGGAAGAACTCTTGTAATTTTTTTTATTATTACTTCAGCCTCAGGTAAAAAAGTATATTTAGGCCAAAGGAAGAGAGGAGCAGAGAGAGTTGGGACAGGGTATTGAAGCAAGGTGAAGCAGAAGTTACAGAGGTAGAATAGAGCTGACTGAAGGATAAAGAGCATGACTTGAACAGCATGTGTATGAATAGAAATTTTCTAAGTTCCCTTTACTAACCTGTAGTATCTGACTTGAACCCTGGAAGATAGTTTTGTGAGATGGACTCACAAGCTATTGATATTTATTAATGAGGCAAGTCACATGACTATCTGTGTCTTCAACTGCTCGTCTGTAAAGTGGGATAATAACGAGAGTTCCTCCTAGGCGATTGTGAAATACTTTATAAACCCAAGGTGCTTCAGATATATAATAGTGTTAATAATCTTGTTCAGATTTAAGCAGAAAACAATTTTTATTTGGTTCTTTTTTTGGAGATTAGGCAGCCTAAAACTTTTAAAATCTTTTCTAAGTACCTAAGGCTCAACTTTATCAGAACTATGAGAAGAACAACATGCAGCAAGATATAGAGAGGAGGGTTCTTAGTGCTCTTGTTGTTAAGGGTTGAGGCCTCCCTGCACTCCACCCTAAGCACCAGACAGTAATTTCATAGCGGCTTGTTCTCTCCCAGGATCTGGCTTATGCTGAAAGGGAGGGCACCATGCAGACATTCATCTGGCAACTGCTTAGTACCTTGAGAACAGGGTAGGAAAAGGGGAACCCCATCTCCACACAATTACTGCAGCTTTCTGATGTGGGATGTCCTTCTGTATATGTGTTTCTTTTATTGGCTAATGATAAAACTGCTTTGGCCTATTGCAGGGAAGAATATAGCCAGGCTGGAATATATGTAAAGAGTAGGTAGAGTCAAGGAGACACCATGTAGCTGCCAAAGGAAAGTTATATGCCAGAAACTTACCAGAAGGCCACAGCTTCATGGTGATACACAGAATAATATAAATGGGTTAATTTAAGATGTAAGAGTCAGTTAATAAGAACTCTGAGCTAACAGGCCAAGCAGTATTGTAATTAATACAGTTTATGTGTGATTATTTGGGTCTGGGCAGCCGGAAAATGATGGAGCAGTCTCTGACTACTGCTTTCCCCTTGCCACAGACTACTTTTCAGGTACCTATGATGAAGTTGGGCTGGAGTCAATAACATTCACCTCTGCCCATGTGTCACCATGAGTCACACAACATAAAGGAAGATTGTTCCTAGGAAGAGTAGTCTGATCTATGACTAGTCATCTGTCCATGCTAGGGACATTTCTCCTTTATGAACTCACTAGATTTTTCTTTCTCTGAGAAGACAGACAACTCAGTTAGCGGTCTTCCAGGTACTGTCCCTTATATGTGATGGCCACTCCCAGCCTCCTTCCTTAGCCCTCTGCCCTGTGATAACCAGATAAGACTGCACCCTCTGCATATTGTGTTCTCATGGTGAGTTCTGCATGGTCACTGTTTCTGGAGTCCCTGTGTCAATTCTGTAAGTTCTTTGCTTATTCATCTTATTTTTGTTTATAATACTGGAAAATTTTAGTCAAACAAACACCACATTTGTGATGTAGCCTATATTTCCATTTATGTAGAATGTAGTTCATTTTTAAGGCATTAATCCTCAGTGAGATGACAACAATGGAAGAACACAGTCAGCCAGTGTGTGCTACGTGAGTTCATTTACCATTGGTATTCAGTAGAGGTTAAGAGTATAGCCTTGGAGACAGACTGCATGTCCAATTGATCTACCACTCACTGGCTCTGTGACAGAATACAAATGTCCCCCTTTGCACTTGAGCGTCCTCCTCTGTAAATCCATATAAAGTTTTTGAAAATGGTAGGGAAAACATCTACAGAAACCCTGCAATCACAGAGGGTCAGCACTCTCCTTCTCATCCTATTGATGAGACAAACAACCCACAAGGGTGCTGTGAACTCTTCACGAGAGCTTGTGGGAAGATCCTTGAGACCAGGCTGCATCACTATGCAGGTAGTGTCACAAGGGAACCATTAAGTCTCTCTTTTTTCCCATAGCATCACCTGACCAGCTAGTGATAGCATCAGGATCCAAACCCACTTCATCTGTTTGTCGAGTCTGGGCTGCTGACCACTTTATAGTGATATTTCCTAAGCTAGACGTCAATGGACTTTCCACTATGCAGTTTTTCCTTTCCTTATCCATTACTATGCTGATTAATTGTTATTCTTTTATTGACTGTGTGTGTTACGATATACCATATATATATACATATATATGATATATCATATATATATAGTATGTATTGCATATATTTGGATGTTCATTCCCATGTCCCACGTGCATGTACTTGGGGATGGCAGAGGAAGGTGCCAGATGCCCTGCTATCATTCTCTACATTATTCTCTTGAGACAGTATTTTTCCTTGAACCCAGAACTCACCATTTTTGGCTAGATTTGCTGGCCAGAGCTACAGTGTTCTTATTGTTTCTGCTCCTTCCCCTAACTGAATTACAGGTTTATGTCTGGCTATGCCTGCTGTTTTACATGGGTCCTGGGGATCCACACTCAGGTTCTCATATTTCACGCCAAGCATTTTTACCTTCTAAGCCATCTCCTTTCCCCCATCTTTTTAATTCTTACCCATATGTTTGGCTTCATCATTCGTGTCCACGTAAGGGAGTTTGTGGGTGTATCCTTGGGAACAGATAAAGCAATGTGAACATGCAGAGAAATCAAAGAAGAAACTCAGCTAATGGTCAAGACAAGAGTTTTCTGATGATTTTTCATAGGTATATATACTGATGGCCTCAGGAAATAAGGTTGAGGTTCATGCCATGTTGTAGCATCTTGCCAGAGTAGACTTTAGAAAATCACATCACAACATTGGCAACTGCATATGTCAGAGTTTGAAGGTCTTTGAAACAGTTTTAGAACCCCAGGGTGCTTGTAATGTGTGGGGCAGTTATGTGCAACCAAGATTTTCTATCGAAAAAGCCAGGGACTTCTGCTATGTGACATGTTGGGTTTCCATATTAATTGCTTGTATTCTTTTCTGTAACTGTGTCATTTCTAACTAGCAATGACTGGTGCAAGCCCAACTCTCCCTTTCTGGTTTATTCTATTAAGGGCTTTTCTATCATCTCCAAGAGGCTCATAGTGCTGATTGTGGGTGGGGCTGTGTA